CTATGACTTGGCAAACTCTAGTGGAGTATCATGGATTAATATTAACATGGGCTGGTCAGGCAAGGTCTAACTTTGCATCTTGAAGAACACAGTACTTTTTAAAAAAGCTGTAGGCGAGGAAATTCTTCTCATATTAGTGGATTATGATCAGAGATGTTGACATGTCAGTAGTGATTCTGGCTAAAGAAGCTGCATACTGGCCACCTGAATAGCACCAAAAAATCAATGACTGGCTCAGCAGAATAGTGATAGAAATGTAGCCGTGTTAGTCTGGGGTAGCTGAAGCAAAATGCAGGACTATGTAGCACTTTAAAGACTAACAAGATGGTTTATTAGATGATGAGCTTTCGTGGGCCAGACCCACTTCCTCAGATCAAATAGTGGAAGAAAGTAGTCACAACCATATATACCAAAGGATACAATTAAAAAAATGAACAAATATGAAAAGGACAAATCACATTGCAGAACAGGGGGGGGATGCAGGGGGGGGGAAGGAAGGAAGGTAAGTGTCTGTGAATTGATGATATTAGAGGTAGGGAGAGTGGGATGTTTGTGAGTTAATGGTATTAGAGGTGATAATTGGGGAAACTATCTTGGTAATGGGTGCGATAGTTCAAGTGTTTGTTGAGTCCTTTTTGGAAAGTGTCGAATTTTAACATGAATGACAGTTCAGAGGATTCCTTTTCAAGTGCAGATGTAAAAGGTCTTTGTAGCAGAATGCAGGTGGTTAAGTCATTGAGAGAGTGTCCTTTCTGGTTAAAATTGCAAGAAACTGTTTTTTCTTTGTGATCTTGTCTGATATCTGTTTTGTGGGCATTAATCCTTTGGTGAAGTGTCTGAGATGTTTGTCCAATGTACATAGCAGACGGACACTTTCGGCACATGATAGCATAGATTATATTTCTGGATGCGCAGGAATATGTGTTCTTGATCTTATAACTCACTTGGTTAGGTCCAATAATGGTATCAGCAGAATGAATATGTGGACAAAGCTGGGAAGGTACCAGGGTTGGTATTAGTGTGGTATGTCCTGTGGTGGTTGGTAAGAATCATCTTGAGGTTAGGTGGTTGTCTATAGGAGACTATGGTCTGTCTCCCAGAGCCTCTTTGAGTATGGTATCCTGTTCCAGTATAGGCTGTAGTTTATTGATAATGTGTTGGACAGGTTTAAGTTGGGGGTTGTAGGTGATGACAAGTGGTGTTCTATTGTTGGTTTTCTTGGGTCTGTCTTGAAGTAGATGGTTTCTAGGTATTCGTCTGGCTCAGCAGGTACAGGTACAGGATGGCTTTGAATGTGGTTTTGGTAGACTGAATGGGTGCTGGTGCTGTTTACTCACTGGATTGGATCTCAGTAATGCAAATATCCCCTTGGTTATAGCTGTACGTTGTGTGCTGTGTAATACCTGTGAGGCGAAAGGGGAAAAGCAACCATGATGGTGAAGGAGCAAGGTATACATGCTGTCTGCTGAATTTGTACAATCAGGAATAAGGGCTATAAAAGAGTGAAAAAAAGAGCTATAAGGCTGAGGGAGGTCTTAAAAGATCATTTTAACAGCCAAGTCATGGTACACAACACGACCATGTCCTTTTATGATTGTGTTTCCATAGTGTGATTAAATACAAAAGTGGATCTTTGCTACCTTTTTTGAATGCCAGACTAATAAATATATACTGAATTTCCAAAAGAAAACTTTGTGTTTAAAGAAACAGGCAACAAAATTAAAGTGCAAACAAATATGAAGTTAAAAATCTGTTACCAACACAGTAACATGGTGAACTATATTTTAAACTCAAGGATAAACAGCAATGAAGAGTGATTATTTATGTTCATGTATATAAAATCTACTAAAGAATGCTAGGTATGGCTATAAGTGTACCCTCTTGTTTTCACAGGTTGGTGTGTGCCTCACAATAGCTCTCCTTTTGGCCCCTGGCAGGGAGTGGTAGGGGTAAGGATGTAACTCTACATCATGCTCTTACACTGACCATTTTGTTCTCCATGAAAAGACTACTGAATCTGGGGTCTTTGGGTGACTAAGTCAACCCTGTTCTGCAATATCTGAGTTTGTTGCCTAAGCAAACCTGTGATGTTCTGGTCTGTTTCCCAAAGAGCCTTTGTCCTTTTTCCTTTCCTGCAGCAATCTTTCTCTCTGTGTGTCTCTCCCCTCTATTCTTGGTCCTTCTCTGTGACCCTAGTCATATGGTCCGTCTTTCTCATCCTGATCAGGATTAGGCATGAAAGGTATCTCTTTCAAGAACATCATCCCAGAGGTTGCTGGTTAAAACAGACAGATGCATCATTACATTTAGTCACAGTGGACAGGGAAAGATGAGTATCAAACAGTGTTCTCTGTAAGCTTTGCATTGTGCAGCTACTCAGGGGAGATTCAAATGCCGCCTAGCTGATTAGCAAAGCATCCACAGATAGGTTCTGTTTCTGTTGGTGGTGCACATTCACACATGCCTTGGAACACATACCATTTTATTGTACACATGGATGGAAAGATCCATATATGGATGGAAAAGATTAGAGGGAACATTGGTCTCAGAACTCCTATGAACATCTTTTAATAAAAAACGCTAATTGTCACTTTAATTCTGGAGCACCTTGTTGCTGTATCATTTGGCAGATCAAATCCTAGTGAATCCAGACTAGACTAACAGAAAGGAGGGCGAAAGCATGTTCTATTGCACAGATATTTTAAATGATAGGCTTCATTCCTCATGTATTGGTATAGGGAAAGTGCAGTGAACATTAGCAATATTTTCAGTCAGCAATGATTTTGGATGATAGCTCACTCCAAATGGTGACAAAGGTACAGAGAACACAGCTACTACTGCCCTTTTGAAGCCACCTGGGCCTGTAGGCTGCTAGCCTGATTACTGCAAGCATGCTAGACAAACTCCTTGCAGAGTGGTATGGGAAAGTTTCCTATTGCAGGAAAAGACAGAAGACTAGAATTCTTACAAATCTTGGAGAAAGAATTGGAGAATATCTCCATGAAAGTTTATTGAGGTCTCTCAAGAGGATAAAAGTAACATCCCTACAGAGATAAACAAAGTACTCTTCATGACTCCCTGTCTATATCAACAACCCAAAGAGTTGGAAGTGGACATAACAGCCTATTTCTCTTTGTTGTACCTCAAATTAGTGTCTTGTGCTTGGACAAATGTGGATTGTGTAATCAGACTGCCATAGTGCTTTTTTGCATTTATTCCTATTCATAATAGTAAAGCAATCAGAAGTTAATTACTCAATTCTGTAAATTTGAAATTTACAGATTGGGTGGCCTGCATTTTTGAATGGGGAAGAATGTTGGGGGAGGAAGGAAAGAGAAAGAAGGGGAACAGACAGCAAAAACAAAAAACTCACCATGTACACACTCATTTGAGCTTCCTTCCCTTTATCATCTGGCTCCTCTGTGCTCATCTAGTGGGACTGGTGTGAACCCATTGGAGTTTCCAACTGCTTCTGGCATGGTTTAAATCTTCTGCCATGTCTTCTCCTTCCCCTTTACTGTTCATAACAGAAGTCTCTGCCTTGGGGTCTTATGAAGTGTTCACAGCCAAATATACCATGCAGTTCATTATAATAGCAGTAGCTCTCTCGGGCAGCACCTGATTTCTTGTTTGCCATCCTAACCTTTTGGTGAAGTTCCTTCACTATCACTCATCCCTGTTGTTACCCCTTTCTGCATCCACTGTGCGATCTGCAATTCCACAGATGTGCTTGCATATCCTCTTTTCCCTAAGAGTCAAGGAGATCTAAGATTTCTTGCCTGCTCCACTTTACCTACTACGTCTCTGAGGGAGGTCACTCTGAAAGTGAACTGGTAGGAATGCTTGCCAAGAAAGGTGGGCAATGAAGAAAAGGCATTTCAAAAATATTGGGTGAGTTTTGGTGAACAGGCAAGGAGAATTTCTTTCAAGGGCAGTGAAGTTCAAAATTGTGACAGAAGCAAACACTGTCGTTGGAACAAGGGGATTGTGGGATAGCTGCTAGAGGACTGTTAAGTAATATAGTGTCTGCACTCCAATTGCATCAACTTAAGACTGTATTGCTCAGAGATGCAGTGTTATTGCATCAATATAATGGGATGCATGTGTCAGTGGGAGACAAATTTTACTGTGGATGTGCATAACTAGGTCAACCAAGGTCAACTTATGTCAATCAACTTTGTAGTGTAGACCAGGTCAAAGTGTCTCAGAAGGTTAAAGGGCCTTGCACCAGCTACCTGCATCACAGGAGAGGAAGCATGATCCACAGAGTTGCTATATCCCAACTTGTGCTGATGTGAGTAGAGGGAAAAAGCCTTAGTTGTTCCAACACCCTCTCTCATGTCATCCCATCACCCAAGCAGGCATAACTGTGCCTGTGTATTGGGAATGTATGCTGTGCTGGGTATCAATCTGGTGCAATTTATTCCTTCAACAGAGCATCAGGGTAACGTGTCAGGAGATTGAAACAATACACTCTTCCTTACTTTATACTTGTGACAAAGCTAAGATTGAGCTCTCTTGGATAGAATTGCTCAATCAGTAACACTCAGTTTTTGTAACAACTGCAATTGTATTAATAACTTTTATAAATTCACAGTTTTAAAATATTTGTACCTTCCTTTTGTTCCTTGAATTGTCTTTCATCCTTGTTTGTATTCATTGTTAAATCTGTAGTTAACAGTGTAGTTCTTCCCCTGTGGTTAGTGGGAAAGGATGATGCAGACCATGTGTTATGACTTCTGTTCTGTGTCCTTGCAATATATAATGCTGTGCAGTACTTCTTTGGTTATATTTTTCAGAAAACATTTTTCCGCTTCCAGTATATTTTGTAGTATGCAAAATGTGCTATCTGTCTTATTTTACTCTAATGTTGGTATCATTTTATAACTGTTCATTTTATTCAGATATTGCTACTACTTTGCAGTGTTTCTTTAGGTGGAGTGAAATGTCTTCCCTACCTTTTCTACTCTATGTGATTTTATTTCATCTTCTCAATTTAGGAGCTTCCAGCACCTATACTTGATGATGTCCACAAAAAACAATTGGATGAGGAGGAGTCAGCCGTTATATCTAAACAGGAATCTCGAGAATCAATGAAAATAGCCTGGCGCTACCAGAATTTACCAAAAATGGAGGTAAATAGGTTTAGTATTATATCTGGCTTTATCCTATACTTTGAGAATAAGAATGAAATTCACTTGTTCTATAAGTATGGTATCTGAGTAGAACCCAAACTTTGGAAGTATTTTCAAACTGTGCTAAAAGCTTGCCTTGGGAAAGCAAACTATCAGTCACCAATTCATATCTTGATTAGCAGTGATACAGTGAGATGAGAAATTGAGTTTATTATGTAGCATGAAATCCAGATGTATTTAACAATCATTTGAAAAGAAAACCAGAAAATTAAAATAGCAAAATACACAAGGCTGGTGAATTTATCATTCGGGCTACTTTTAAAATCTAGATAATGATGTCTATATTGTTTATACTGAACATTTTTCTAAACTTAGTTATTCATAGGTGATATGCATAGGTTGAATGAACAGTACTTATTAGATACTTCTAGTGAAAATACTTTATTGACACAAACTGTTGACTTGCTTATCCATGTGCATAATAAGTAAGCACTTGAGATTATATCAGCTTCACTGTCACTGGAAACTAATTGCTTTGAAGGTGGCATGTAAGACACAAGTCACTTGTTCAGAGTTTACAGCTGTTAGAATTTTGTGAATTACATTTTTCCTTAAGCTAGTTATTTTCTTGTTTAGTCTAATAGTGCAGTCAAACCTTACAAAAATTAAAGTGTTTTGAACCATACAGAACAACAGACTTCTTGTTTTGTGTGTGCTGTTTGGCTTAAGTATTTTATATACTCTGATTTAGATGCATTCATAACTGTTTAGTAAGTTAGCCATATTCTAAAAAAAATTGGAATGTGACAAAATGATCTTACAAGTCTTGGCATGTTTGGTTTCTTCTGAAATTGCATAGACGTGGCTTTAGATTTTGTCAGAGAAGACTTATATAGGGTGACATGCCAAATCAAATAGCCTCTAGGGTGATCATAAAATCTCATGAATTTTATTCATGTAGGGCTTGTTATATACTCTGAACCATTGCAAAATATAGTTTGTGTTTTATCCAATAATATAAACTAAATTAATCATACACTGATATACAAACAATTAATTGTCATTATTTCAACACAAAGGCTACGTCTATTCTGCAGCCTTCTTCCGCGAAAGCTTATGCAAATGAAGCGTGGAGTAAAATACTACTGTGCTTCATTTGCATAATTAATTAGCAGCCGTTTTTGCACCAAGAGGCTTTTGCGCAAAAAGGAGCGGTCTACATTTTTCAGGAAAAGCGGATCTTGCACAAGAAGGGTATTTTGCACAAAAACGGCTGCTAATTAATTATGCAAATGAGGCATGGCAATATTCTACTCCTCACTTCATTTGCAAAAGCTTTTGCGGAAGAAGGCTGCAGTAGAGACATAGCCAAAATGTCCTGGCTCTAACAGAACAAAAGTGGAATATAAATAACCCAAAACAGGCTACTCTGTCCAGTAATATATTATTTAATAGAACACTATGCACTTGCCATTGATTATCACAAATGGCATTTGCATGTTGAAAGTTATAAACTAATAATTGTTTGATCTAAAACAACTGTACAACCTTATAAGACAATTTTCTTAATTATGAAAACATTCTAAAACTGTATGTACTTGAACAATGGTCCTCAAACTTTTGATGTTGCACCCCCCCACACACACCTACACACACACATACCACCCATAATATAATCTGTCTACATCCTTCCCACCAGAGCTGGGACTGGGAGTAGACCTGCAGTTGGAAGCTGGGGTCCGAGGCTGAGACTTCAAATAGGTCAGAAGGTAGGCCAGCAGCTGAGGCCCAGAATGCAGCTGGAGCTGGGCCCAGGAACACAGCTATGGTCTGGAGCTGGGGTCTGAAGCTGGGGGTATGGTTGGAGGCAGGAGCAGGGCCAGGGATGAAGTAGAGCAGAGGGCAGAGTAAAGCTGGGTAGCACTCCCTCTCCATCATTTGTGGAGACTGGCCCAGGCCCCAACATGGCCCCCAAACTTTCCTCCTCCTCCCTACAGAGGGGATGTGCCTCACAATTTGGTGATATCTGTACCAGTATGTTTGTTGGTTTTAAAGTAAATGCTAAATTGCCAGAAATTATATGACATCAATAAGACTTAAAAATAAAGCTATAGTTGTTAAATAATTGTTGACTGTAGGTAATGTCATAGATCAGAAATATTTGATGTATTATTGATGATGCAATGTACAGTTATTGGCTATTTGGAAATAATAACTTATCAGCATCTGAATCCTTCCACTAATTTTAATACACAGTAAAAGCTTCATCTGACGTGTTTGGGGAATCAGAGAGGGTGTCAGTTAATCAAATATTTTGGTTAACTAAGAGTTACATTTACCAATGGAATACCCATTTTCAAAGAATTAGAATATAATAAAATTAATGAAACCAATCCAGTAGAAACTGCACTGGATTGGTTGGTTTCTTGAAGCACTTAAATGTATACAGGCAAAGTTTTCTATATAGTAGGTTATTTTATGGTACTACATTTCACTATGGGCAGTGCAATGGGCACAGCCATATCAATAAAAATATATTTAACACTAAAACTATACTAAACATAATTTAATTTTTGATCATTCAGAAGGCAATTCAGGGTCTTGCAGTGCCTCAAGATCATATATTTATCAACATCAATTATCATTGTAAGTGTAGGTGAAGACTAGGCTGAATCTGTAATGACCCTATTTACATATCTTGGAAGTTGCTTTTTTGAATAAATCTCTATCAACTCATTTATTTGTCTTTTGCATAAACGTAGAATGCAGAATGCATAACCTCCTGGGCAATATACTACAGGCTGAACCTCGCTAGTCCACGATTCTCTGGTCTAGCAATATCTGTGGTCCAGCATCATCAGGGACCCTGTGAGTGCTTCAGGGTTGGTGCACTCATGTAGAAAAACCAGCAGAGCAGGATCACAGATGTTGCCAGACCAGAGAGCTTGGCCAGTGGTTTGAAGTGGCAGCTGAAGCCAGAGCCCAGCAGTTGGGAACAGAACCTGGTGGCTGGAGCTGGAGCCTGGCCACAGCCTGGGGGCTGAGGCAGGGACCTAGAGGCCTGTAGCAGGGTTCAAAGACCAGTTGGAAGTAATAGAGCTCAGTGACTGAGCCCAAGGCCAGGAGATCAGCAGAAGAGGGACCACCATTAACCTTCCCTAATCTGGCAAACTCCCTGGTTTGGGACTGTTCAGTCCCTGAGGGTGCCAGAGAAGGAAGATCCAACATGTTTTCCCAGTTACTAAACTGAAGATTTGCATTGAGATATATCAGAAATGTCAGTTAATAGAACTTTCTGGTTAATAAAGTGCCGAATAGCACAGCCTTTACTGTACTTAGTAATAGCTGTTAAATATTTCAGTTTTCATTAATTCGTGTTTGTTGACTGATTAGATATTTTTGACAAAATAAAATATTTTTTAAATTATTTTCCAGCCAACTTTAATGCTTATATTTAAAATTATATTTACAAATACAGGTTGAACCTTTCTAGTCTGGCATTCTCTGGTCTGGTGACATCCGTGGTCCAGCATGATTTTAGTTGTCTGGATGTTCACTTATCATGGGTGTGGCCAAGATTGCCATGATCCCATAAAGTTTAAACTGTAGGTTTTTTAAATAGAGCTCAAAGTGTGTCAGCTGAAAACTTCGCTAGTCAACATTTTTTTTTTTTTGGTGAGCCATAAATGTTGAGTAAATTTGTCCTGTTAGTGTTCTGATAGTTAATATAATTTGTAGTTGTAAGTAACCAAAGAGGTTTCTGTTGTGGAGATGGCTCAGTTATGCCCTTTTCCTTCCTAAAAGCAGGTTAAATAAGCTTTTTTTCCAGCTCATAAATGTTTCTTATTAAGTATTGTGTTTAAATTAGTAGTCCTGTCTTGAACAGTGTATAAAAACATGTGTTATATATTCTGAATATTATAAATGCACTGTGGATTTTTATAGGTAATCAGTCAAAAAGAATTGGATTCTAGGTATATGTGCTGCATGCAGTTAGCAATTTAGAAGATACTTTTATCTATATCCAGGGGTACAATCGCTTATACTCTTGTTAAAAATGCCAGGTGTAGTCTAATTTGCAATTTAAAAGTATAGTGGTTTTTCCTCCTTTTTTGTTTCAATTAATTGCTTGTGTTCTTAGGGCAATATATAGACTGTCACAGCATGAAATCAATTTTCTGCCTTTATTCTCCAAAATCTGAGATTTCTAGCACATTAGTATTGCAATTAGAAACATTAACAGCAGGCAGTAGCATAAAAACGTATTCTGCTCACTGATAATTTAGTGTATTTCTCCTCGTGCAGACACTTTTGTAGGAATCCAGTAAAGAACTGGTTTGAACCTACAAACCAGAAATAAAATTGCTCTCACAGATTTAAGAGGAATGAAAAGTCTCAGTCTCTTTCTCTCTTCATGGCCATTCTGCTAACACAGATTATTCATGCTTACTTGATTCAGGTGGGCTTTTTGCAAGCTTCCCCACTAGGGTTGGGAATGTGGTACATTGAAGCCTATTCAAAGTTTCTGACATAGACTGAGCTTTTATTGCATGGTGTTTTATTATAGCCAAATCCTAGTCTCCACCCAGTTTGTAGGCTCTGTGCTCATTCTTTTGAATTAAGAAAGGTTATCACCTACCTTAATCCATGCAGCAGTGTGGATTAAGGACACCAATGTGCCTCAGGATTCTCAAAGAGGATCCTGGAAACTTGTTGTTTCTTCTTTTTTGCTGTCTTTACTAAACTCTATTGGGCTTCAGTGAGGATTTGCATCTGAAATGGGCGGCCTGGAGCTTTTCTCAATGAAGACATCAGATCAAAGTTCAGTTAGTCAAGGCCTTTCTAAAACATTAAGGGGGTTTGGACGTCCACAATAAAAAGATGAGCCCTGGCAGAGATTGCAGTAAAAACATTGTGTTCTGTAATCCGGATAAAGGATAGATTATAGGCCAAAGAACAGACCCTTTTTAAATTGCTTTCAGAACCCACATACTAAATAACTTTACATGTAAATATGTATATTTTAATGTAATAGTATGAGTTTTATTTTGTGATTTAGAAAGCAATTTCTAGTAAGTAAAATTAAAGCCCTAGTTTTAAAGAGCTCACTGGTTTCTTGTGAATACATTAAATGCTTTAGATCTTTTATATAATAAGAAAATGGCCTATTACTAAAGACCAAGGACTTCTTAAGACTTAAAAAAAGACCGCTTGGTTTTTTTTCTGTGTTTTTAATTTTAGCATTTTGAATTCTCTGATAGCTAATTCGCCCTAATATGCATTTCATTTTCAGGTGTTAATTTGGTAATTCCCAAGTATAAAATGTAAATAATTAAGATAGTTAGTTTTAATTAAATTGTGGTTGTAAAGTGTTTTTAAATATGAAACAAGAAATAAAAACTAGGAAAATGCTGCAGAAGATTTCCTTGAAAAAAGTCATAATGACATTGTGATACTAACCAGGTTTGTTCTCTGTGTGTTCAAAGTTGTTTATGTTTATTTTAATGAAAAAACTATGTCTTAAGTTTACTCCTTTGAGACCTGTCAAATCCACAGAGTGATTGGAATAGGAGCTAAATTATTTTCTGGTTTTTATTTAACAATTCAGTTTGTAAGTTCCAGCTACAGTACTACATTTTACTCTTTGTTACACCTGTGAAATCTAGTTTTCCGTGAGGGGGACACAAGTGTAATTTAGGCCAGAATTTTCATTCCTGATGACAAAACATACGTCAGAAAGAACACAAATTTTCAGATGTTGGGTTAAGTGTGGAGTATTGGAATTTTTAAAATAAGTAAATAAAAACTCATTCTTTTTTGTGTTTTTGGTAAAATGAGGCAAAGTTTTATGGAAGCTATTGACAAAATATAATATCTCCTCATGCTATTTTTAGTCACTTCTCAGGATGCATCCACAAGTGCAAATCAAAATGCATTTTCATTTAATTTAATACTTCTGATTTTTGCACAGATGAATTTTTCAATCTGATGCACACAGTGTTATGACTTTCAAAATTAAATCTATGTTAACTTTACACTGACCATTGAGCATGTTTAAAAACTACTTAGTGCCAACCCTTGGCCTAAGTCACTGAATTTATAGTTAGGCTATGTTTATACTGGTACTCATACTTGGCTGTTTATACACTTGTGCATGCTTTGTACACCAAGTGTCTGCATATATATCCCAGGCTTTGTGCATCACAGGGACATAATATAGCAGTCACTTTGCTAGGTGGTGGTTGTTCTGTCCACTGACTTCACATATTTACATATCTCTTGTTTTTACCTTCCATAACTTTTAAAGTTCACTATAGCTATTGACAGATTCTTTGTTATTAATTTAAGCCTGAAGTCATGCTTAAATGAAAAATTATAGTTTTCTAACACAGGTAGAGCAAGTTATTATGTTTTTATGACAAATAATTTAATGAATTATTATAATGAGTATAGAATGTTTTCACAGGTCAGTCCAGCAGTTTCTGCACGGTTTGGTCACTATTATGATTTATCTAAAACATTGTCTCCAGAGCTACTTCAATCCAGAAAGTGGCACCGCTTTTTCCTTCCTGAAGAATTGTCCTTGCAGTCTGAAATAAAAACTTGGTAAGTTCTTAATTTATATGTCTATTTTTAGTTATTTTTATACAAGTTAAGGGAAAGATTGTTCTTAAAGCTGCAAACTAGTTTATTATTAACTTAAAAAACAACAAATGGTCTGGTAGCACTTTATAGACTGACAGAACATGTAGATGGTATCATGATCTTTCCTGGGCCCGGCCCACTTCTTCAGATGACCGGAGTTTTGAGTTTAGGATGTGCAGACCCAAAATAAATAGGGGAGAAGGAAGAAAGGGGAAGGGAAAAAAGGAAGAGGGTGGGAGAGGGTAGGAAACAAGGAGCACAGGGTATGAAAATATCAAAGGGAAAAACAAGTAGGCTTATAGGTAACCTATAAGCACCTAAAGATTGGATAGTTAAAAGAAGCAGATATTTATTATTGCCTGTAGTAATACAAGTACTTTTAAAATCCTTTCATTGCTTTGGAAAACCACAGCCTAAATGTTTGCAGTCAAGGAGTAATATAAAACAGAATATGAATTGGATTCCTTTTAACCATCATATTCCTGTAATGCTCAAAATGAAAGGTCTACCAATACCTTAAATTTCAAAAAGAAATCTGAATTTGTTGTCCAGGCTGGAAATTCATAGATGTGTCGGTCAAGCATAAATAAAATGAGAGAGACCAGAAATGAACAGTCATTGCTGTTGACTGGAATATCTTTTCTATTGTATCTTTCTGGCAGTGTCTTAAGCTACTTCTCTAATGTTAAATATAGATTAAGTAGTCCAGCTGCATATTCAATATGGACCTTTTGATATTTTTATCTATGCGCTTTATAAACTTTTAGGTATAGAGCCAAGTCTTGAGAAGTATTTAAATGTTATATTTTTAAAAACAGTGAGGCACAATACAAAACATGATTAATAAAAGAAATGCAATATTTCCCGGAGTGCTTTTTCAGAAAAGTAAACAACCCAAAGACTTCTATGTTTGTTGATATCAGTGTCAGTATTATATGATCAAAGGTCGGTGGTTTAAATTTAGACAGGCTTTCAGGTTCTAGCTGTACAAATGTACACTTTCAGGAGTCGGGGCAAATTTAAAGTGTTATTTCTATAGTAAACATTTAACGTAAGTAACATACAATGTATAATAGACCATTTGATTGGCAAGGGCCAAAGAATATGGTCACGGAATGATTGGATTCGGCTGATTGCCGAAGTGGGGCTACTTTGTCACCTAGCAGATATCCCACACTTCTTGCACTGCTCCACAATATGTCACTAACTGGGATGGCTTTTGTGCCTGTAAATCTGTAGATACGAAGTATTTGTGTATTTTTATTTCTAATCTGAGTAAGCAATATGTTGGGACTCCATGAATAAAACAACTCTTATCAAAGGATGCATTGTTTGTGCAGGAAAAGGTGCACATACACATACCAGCCAACTGTGGCCTTGAACCTGACTCTAACGGAACTGGCCTTAATTGAGCTTTAATTGGCCACTGTGAATTGGAGAGCTTCATGGCAGCATTGGAGACCTAAATATAAATACATGTTCTTCTTTCAGAAGTGTCCCTGTCAGTGCTCCACCTTAGGTGTTTGAGGTGCCATTGCACCTCTAGTCGGTAAATTTAGGTAGCAGTGCCCTCAGTAGGCTGTGCCTACTGGGCAGCCAGCATATGTCGGTGTTGCTACTCCACAGCCAACTGCCCATTCAGTTCCTCCTCTGCTGCTGCCGGCTTCAGTCAGAACTAATAGCTGCCCTCCTGATATTTTTCTCAAACTTCTTATATTATACTTGTTGTTAGTAGTTGTTAATAGTTGTTAGTTATAGTGTTAGTGATATACAATCAATCTAGTTAATTTTTTTCTTACTTGTTCGGGCCTTTTTCCCTTTGGCCATTTTTTTCTTCCATGGGATGCCTGGTTGCCGAGGTTTCAAACAGTGCCTGTCCTACAGGCTTTCCATCCCAGTCGCAGAAGGCCACCAGCAGTGTGTTTGTACCGCTCAGGTTATGCACCAGAAAAGCCAGGGAGCTCCAACTGAAGCTGCTTCTCCTGGAAAATGCTGTGTGACCAGCCTCGGACCTTGAGTACTCCACACCATCCAGACAGCCTGCGGTGTTAGAAAACGCAGTTCCCTCAGAGTTGAGCACCAAAGACTCCATTTTGGATCATCAGACCAAGAAGCGAACTCACTCATCGTTCAAAGCTGATTCCCCCTCAAAAAAGCAGGCACCACCTCAGAAAATGCCCTCTGTACTGGCAGCCCCCAAGGTGCTGGGATGAGAGGCACCGAGACCCATACACCTAGACACTCCTCTCCAAAGCAATCATGCCCACATCCTCAATGGCAGCCACCACAATGGTTGCCCCACTGGTGCCAGATGGCTCATTGACTCTGAGGGGAAAGAACCTCTTTCTAAGCCTGGGTGGGCCAAGCCCAGTTCTGCCCTTTTAAATTCCTGGAAGCCAAGGGGCGGGGTAAGGAATATAGAAGCCCATCCTAGGAGCTCATTAGGATCCCAGCTGCTAGAGGAAGCAGAGGCCTGCTCTGAGCTCCCAAGCCAGGAGGGCCATGAGGACCTTGCAGAGGCTGAGGACTGGCACAGACCGCCGGACCCCTGCTCCAAAGAGGAGATCTTCTTCACCCTGCCAGAGAATACAGACTATGATGACCCCCAGGCCTGGCAGCCAGTATGGAGCCAGGTAGATGACAAGGAGGAGTAAGGAAGTGGCCCCGAGGAAACCAACGACTGTCAGGCTGATCTTATAACACTTTAGAATGTGTCACCATGTTGTGAGCCAGATCCCTGCGGATCCCAGTGGCAGCCAGGGCTGCCACTGCTAGGGCCTTGGGCCAGGACACGGTGGAGTAGGGAGGGCTCACATCCCCCATGCCATCCCACATACCAGGTGTCCGTCTCACCCTCCCCTCTCTTGCCTGGGGAACTGCGTTTGTGTTCCTGCCCTGCCCTGAAGCAGGGCCTGGGCCTTACTGACTGCGACTGCTTTTGTGTTGCTACCCACTCTAAACCAGGGCCTGGGTTTTACGAATGGGGGAACTGCTATTTATTTGTCTTTATTTCCTTGTCCTGCCCTGTACTCAGGGCCCGGGGTTTGAAGGGGACGATTGGATATGGATTTACAGGCCTGAGCACAGGTCAGGGATCCAGGACTCAAGTCAGATGGCTTACACATTCACATTAAGAATAAGGATTTTATGATTATGGTGACCAATAACTACTTAACCAAAAGATAAGTTCTCCAAGGCAGGTAAGTGCCTGGAGGCCTGCACTGCTGCTGAATTTAGCGGTGGATAAGTGGATGTTTTAATTCTTCAAAGCTGCCAGATCTGCGTCTTCCAAAAAATTGCTGTGACTGAAGAGCTGTAAAAAGGGGAAAGAAACCGGTATCCAGAAGTTCTTTTTTCCCTAAATCTCTGCCTTACTACTTTGCAAACAGAAACTGCAATGTCTTAAGGGGCATGTCTACATTAGCAAGATCAACTATCTGGAGGCTGATCTTCTAGCATTCTATTTAGTGGGTCTACCGTAGACCAGTTAATTGAACTCTGAGGGCAGCCCCTGCCATCAACCAATACTCCTCGTTCTGTGAGGAGTAAGGGAAGTAAACAGGAGCACATGCTTCCATCAGCCTCCAGCCGTGTGGAGGCCGCCATGGCTCGGCTTAAGGTAAGCCAACTCCAGCTACGCATTTTGTGTAGTCGGAGTTGTGTACCTTAAATCAACCTGCCTGGTCTAGTGTAGACCAGGCCCAAGTCATCAGCTTCAGTGATTAAATTTTGTGTGATGCTAAAATCTATAGCAAATTAGCACCTGAGAACATCTTAATTTTTTTTGAAATGTGAGGATACCTTTACACTTGATTTGGGTTTGTGACCATATAGTAGTTTCCCTAGAACTAGAAGGTGTAAAATGAAGAATACTTGGGTACAGGAGTGCAAGCATAAGCAAAAGATCCTTCTCTGCTTTGTTTCAGATACCAATGTGATACTATATTACAGGATAAGTGCTTCAAGACTGTGTTTTTTAATTAGATTTAGACCTCTGGGGATAGTCCATGTGTATTGTGGGACATATGAGTTCGATTTTTTTAGCTGAACATTTTACTGAAAGAGTCGGTTTCATAATTTGTTTGCCAGTTAGTCAGATCTGAGTCTCATTTTTCTGTGTACTTTAGAATTTTCAGAATAACTCAGTTTTGGTCAGGTATAATCTTTGTGACATAGGTGCCATGTCTGTACTAGCATATACTAGCATTTATGTTGGCAAAACTTTTGTTGCTCAGGGGTGTGAAAAATCCACACGCCAAGTCAGATAAGTTTTTCTAGCATAAGTGCTGGTGTGCACTGCACTATGTTGGCAGAAAACACTCTCCTGCCTACATAACTGCCTGTTGAGCTGATTTTATTATGTTGAGCTGGCTCTCCCACTCTGGCATAATGCAGCTACACAAGTGCTCTTACAGGATACATTTACACTGCAAGTTTATTTCGGAAAAAGCTATTTTGGAAGATATCTTCCAGAATAGTTTATTTCAAAATAGAGCATCCACACTACAGGGAAGGCTCCAAATTAGTCCAAGGCAGGCTCCCCTAATGTGGATGTGCTACCTTGATTCAGAGCCCCAGGAGGCACTGGGAAGGAATAACTTATAATGGCCCTGGTGAGGAGCTGTTTCGACATAGTAGCAGTACACATACACCCTCTTCCGAAAGAGCTTTTTCGAAAGAGGCGTTATTCCTCAAGGATTGAGGTTTACCAACATCAGAAAATGCCCTCTGTTATTTTGATTTCCTTTTGAAATAACACAATTGCTGTGTGGATATTAGTATTGTTTTTCTGTAATAATGTCTGTAATTCCGGAATAACGGTGCAGGATAGATGCACCTACAGTGGCACAGCTGTATTCATACAGCTGTGGGGCTCTAAACTTGTAAGTATAGATATGTCTTTAATATTACTGATTTGTTTAATCTTTTATATATATATATATATATATATTTGCACTCCA